CATGCAAGTTTAAGGAAAATCACTGTACTATTTTTATTCATTATTATTTTAGAATATATCAGAGTTGCCCATTGGCCAATCTGAACTGTGGCCCAGTGCAAGATGGGGTCATTCCAGTGTGCTAATTCACGATGAATCATCAGAGCCATATCTTCTAGTTGTTGGTGGCTACCCTAGCAAGGACTGCTGGCTTTTCAATATCAATAAACGTGTATGGCAAGAGGTAGTAATATATATACAATATACATAAATGCCTCCTTAATTTGTGGTATTGAAAGAATGAAGATTAAAAATTAATTTTACTTTATTTTCTTTATGTTAGCTCACATGTACTGTTCCAGTCACTGTCACTGGTAGATACTATCATTCTCTAGCAGCATGGAGTGTGACACCAGTTAATGTGTGGGTTATTGAGCATGGTGGATTTAAGAAGGGGCCAATTGTTAATACTACAGCAATTATTGAATTGAGTAAGTGCCATATAATTACAATAGTGCTTGTGATCAAGATAACATATAAGATCAGAATTATTATTGTTTCAATTAATAATAATTATTAATGCTTTTTTCTATCCTATAGCTTGTACTCAAACAAAGGAATGGTCTATTTCTTTCATCACCCTAAGTAACTATCAAGAGAAACTAAAGGAAAGAAGAAGAGAATGGGAGGAGCTGAAGACTGCAAGACAGAATCGCTCGGCACGTAGGTCACAGTTGAATTATGAACACAAGGAGATCCTGGATAGCTGGAAGATCAAGGAGCATGTTCAATTGAAGCTCCATCAGGAGCTAAAAGAGGCTAGAATCCAGCTACAAGAGAAAGAGAAGGAGCTTCAAGCGGTCCAAGAGGAGCTTTCAACAATCAGTCAGGCCCAGGAGAAGGAGTTCCAAAAAAGAGAGAGGGATATTCGACTAGAGTTTGCAGAAACGGAGCTACAGCTCCAGACGATAAAAGTCCAGCTATCGGAGGCAAAGCAGCAAGCAAACGTTGTTCAGTTTCAATTGCAAGAGAAGGAAAAGGAGCTCTCAACAGCTCAGCTACAGCTTTCAGAGGCAATAGAAGAACTCAATGGACTAAGGAGAGAGTTGGAAGAGAAGGAAAATATCGAGAGAGAAAAGGAGAAACAGCGTAAAGAGGAGGATTCTTTCTGGTTTGTGAGGAAAAAGGACATCATAATGACAGAAAAGGTTCTCGGTAGAGGTGGTTGGGGTGAAGTTAGGGTTGCTTTATTTCAAGGGCTTAAAGTTGCTGCTAAAGTTCTTCATGAAACCATCATCTCCGAATATAATCTTTCGATATTCTCACGGGAAATGGAGATTGCTGCTAAAGTCCGTCATCCCAATCTCCTCCAGTTCATAGGAGCCACTAAAGAGGGTAACCCAATCATCCTGACAGAGCTAATGCCCACCAGCTTAAGAAAAGAGCTAGAAGGTGGTGAAGGCATACCCTATCCAACTGTCCTTAGCATCAGTTTAGATGTAGCCTGTGCTCTCAATTACCTTCATCTCTGCAAGCCTCCTATCCTACACAGAGATGTCAGCAGTGCTAACGTACTCCTTCAATCAATGGGAGGTGGCTATGGCAGTGGATGGAGAGCTAAGCTTTCCGATTATGGCTCAGCTAATCTTCAGCCTCTCATTGGAAATACCTCAAATCCAGGAAATCCTGTATACTCAGCACCTGAAGCAGCCAATCCAATAGATCATTCTCCTGCAATGGATGCCTACAGTTATGGTGTTCTTCTTTTAGAGATGGTGACACGCCGTATACCATTACCACACGAGAGGATCGGTCTGATTGATAATGTCCGTAAAGTACCTTTCAAATCTCTCATTCAACGCTGTGTGGTGACAGATCCTGCAAAACGACTCAAAATGTCTGAGATTATAATCGAATTAAACGATATGCTATATTAAATAATTATTTAATATTTATTTTTTTTTAATATTTATTTTTTGAATTTTTTATTCGAAAGTCATAAATTCAGCCTTCAAGCCCACCCCACGTGCGTTCACGTGTCAGACCACTCCTTTAGCAATTTAGCATGGCGTCTTGTAGCTCAGCTGGAGTTGATGAAGATCAGTTGGGAGAAGGAGATGTGGTTCAGAAACCGTCAAAAATACCAAAGACTTCGATATGGGACACAACTGACGAAGAATCCATTCAATCACAGGTCACTGCGGGACTGAGATAAAGGCTGCTCTCTTTCTCTTAAAAAATTATGCTTCTCTTCTCATTTTTACCTCTCTCCCTCCTCTCTAGTTAATAATGAGTGTCCTGTACAATGGTGGCTGCTTGGGTTTGTCCTATTATGACACTGAGTCTGGCCAGTTGTGTATAATGCTGGATGTAGCTGAAACTAAAGACTATGAGATCCTTAAACGAGGTAGCTACATGCATCTACTGACTCTATATAATTTCTAATTTGCGATTCATTTTACTTTTATTTATTTATCTTGCAGTTATAATGCAAGTGGAGCCAAGCGTTATATTAACTAGCTCTAAACAAGACGAAAACATGCAACAGATACTGAAAGACTGTAAGTCTTAGATCTATTACTTGTAGTTAGATGTTGTGCCTAAGTACCTTATATTCACAGCTTTTAAATTCTAAATGTGTCTTATTTATGCAAGACTACTCTTAACAGCAAGTTCTTTATAATAGGTTCTAGTCCTGAGGGAGATACTGGTAGTATATTTGCTTTTAGTATTTCAGTTGAAGTTCTTCCAAGTGTTGAATTTAGTGAGTAATATGCATGTATTCACTATTCCATTCCATGTATGGCTCAAAAATTGGGCCAAAGTCCCTGTACTGTAGGACAGGGTCACAGGTCAATTTTTGCCAAAATTAAAAAGGAGAGAATTCTTTAGTTTTATAAATTTTTTTGATACATATACATGTACTTATGTTGCGTAGAAAGTTTGAGCTGATTCTGATCAAAATTGGATTTTTTAATGATCTTTTAAAATTACTCAAAAATTAGGCCAAAGTCTCTGTACTATAGTACAGGGTCACAGGCCCAATTTCGCTAAAATTAAAAAGGAGAGAATTCTCCATTTTTATAATTTTTTCTGATGCATATACATGTACTTATGTTGCGTAGAAAGTTTGAGCTGATTCTGATCAAAATTGGATTTTTAATGATTTTTAAAAATTACTTAAAAATCAGGCCAAAGTCCCTGTACTATAGTACAGGGTCGTTGGCCAAATTTCGTCAAAAATGGCTACAAGAGAATCCTCCATTTTTATAATTTTTTCTGATGCATATACATGTACTTATGTTGCGTAGAAAGTTTGAGCTGATTCCGATCAAAATTGGATTTTTTATGAATTTTTAAAACTACTCAAAAATCGGGCCAAACTCCCTGTACTATAGTACAGGTCATGGGCCAAATTTTGCTTAAATTAAAAAGGAGAGAATTCTCCATTTTTATAATTTCTCTGATGCATATACATGTACTTATGTTGCGTAGAGAGTTTGAGCTGATTCTGATCAAAATAAAATTTTTTATGATTTTAAAAAGTTGCTAAAAATTCTTTCTAATCATGTACATGTACATATACAATGATTGCAGTATTTTTTAAATAATTTTGACTTCATTTTTGCATTCTCTTACTTTCTTTGTTAGAGTATGAAACTGCTCATCGTCGCATTATGTCTTACTCATGGCCCGGAGTACAAGGGGCGGGTACTGGTGAGGGTAGGGCTGAGGGTATTGAGAAAGAGAGAGAAGTTAGGATATCATCAATCATACCAATGGACTCCAGTAATATGGTCAGTCTATAACACTCTACAGCCTGTACTAGGGCAATTGGATACTAATTTTCTTTAATATAAAGGTGTCCTTATTTCAAAGGTAGTTTTGTATAGGTTTGTACAAGTTGGGACATTACAAAATTTCCCCTTTATAGAGGTGTCCTTTTTATGACACGGCAATTTTATGTGTGTAACTATTATGTAGTATTACATGTATGTGTATAGGTTTGAAGCCAGAGGCACTAATTATTCTTCTTCATTGATTTGTAGGTGAGGAGTACTGGTGCTTTATTGAAGTACTTGGATAAGAAAAGGATTGGGATAGAGCTTGAAGACATAGGGACCCACGTACCCATACTGTCTGTCAAGAGATTCACACTGTAATATTAACATATTCCTCACTTTACACTACTCACATGTACATGTGCATGTATAGTCAAACCTGTCTATTCCGGACACCTTGGGACCCAATAAAACTGTCCTGATTATAGATGTTACCATGTCCTTAATCATTTCAGAGGTTCATTAATACACATTTATATTGTATTGGGACTGATATACTACCTGTCCTTATTATAGAGTTGTCCCTATTTTAGACTGTCCACAATAGCAGGCTTGACTGTACATTTAATGACATTGATTGTTTCTATTCTTCATTTCTTTCTCTAGAGATGATTTACTCCTGATGGATGAAACAGCTTTTAGGTACTACACGTACATGTACATTTTCCTGTTAAAAAATGTTATGCTATTTTCTTTGTTCCTATAGCTCATTGAGGATATTTTATAGAGAGAATCACCCATCAGTGTATAAAGGATCGTCTGGTTCTAAAGAAGGACTCTCATTATTTGGTAAGGAGAGGATGGAAGAGGATTAATAATGATATACTGTAGGTATTGCTAATCACACAAGGTCATCTCTGGGACATAAACTTTTAAAGTATGTACGAACCATATAGCAGGTTTTTAAAGGATAAGGTTTTTTTCGCAAATGACCTCTGTATCCTTAAAAATCCACAAAATTTGCGAAATTTGTTTATCCTCAAACAACCCACTATCTTAAAGATGGATTATACATTTAAAATCTCAAGTGGCTATTAAAATTATTTGTTATTGCACGACATTTTTTCCTAACATTATTTCATTGTTATTAACACTAATACAGGTTGTGGTTCCTACGTCCTTTGAAAGATATTGGCACATTGTCCAAGCGTCTTGATGCTATTGAGTACCTCTCATTGATCAAGAACAATGAAACTGTCGCTTCTTTAACTGATTGCCTCAAGAACATTAAAAATATACCGGTAAAACATCAAGCACTTTTTAAAATATTTTTATGTATTTTGTAGAGGATTCTTGTTCGTATGTCTCAGTCACATTTAAGCATCACTGATTGGCAGTCTTTATATAAAGTATGGCCTATCCATGTGATGGTGTAATCATTGATATATAATTACTGTGTTTGAAAATATTTCAGACAACTTTTAATGCTATTAACATTTGTGAGCTGTGCTCTACGCTACCACAAAATATATACATATTTAAAAAGGTAAATGTATGTATGTATATCTTTATTTGCATTTATTTATGTATTTATTATCAATTTATCAATCATTATTATTGTTAATATTGTAGATTAAAGGTGTGCTTTCTGATGGCTTGTATCAAATTGCTAGTCTCATTACTAAAGTGGTAAGAGCAATACACTATATGTAACAGTAACACAAGTCATACGATCATAATATTTAGCTGCATGTACATGTGTATAATGTACATACACTTGAAATACATGTATATGTACATACACTGTAGGTTGATTTTGAAGAATCAGTAGCACAGAATAGGTTTGTGGTCAAGTATGGTGTTAACTCTGACCTTGATGAAAGTCAGCCCTTTCATTTTTGTATCTAAATACTTATACTTCTTCTCTTTTCTTGTATGTATTTATTTATTCACACAGAGAAGCATACATTTGATGGCTTGACTGATCTCATGACTAAAGTTGCTGCTACTGAGTTGGCTGGTCTTGACCCAGAAGTGAAGGAATGCCAAGTCATTTATGTACCACAAGTAAATACTATTTTGTATATTCACTTAATTGTACATTAATGTCATTGTTTCTTTCCTTCTTTGATTATTTCAGATTGGGTTTCTGTTGAGGTTTGAGAAGGTCTCTTGGATGAAACAAGAACCTGACTTTCACATTAAAGACATGACATTTGCTGTGAGAAAACAATACCTTAAGGTTACTTTTAAATGCGGGTACTATTAATTGTGAATTTTGCGTTTGGGTTAAAAATCGCAATTATTAATATGCGTAATTATTAATAATGACATCATGATGCCATATAACTATTAGTAATAATCATTTAATCACAATTTTTAATACCAGCAAAATCTACCTCGTGCTAAAATCACAAAATTTGGTACCCGCAATTAAAAGTCACTCTAAGGTATAATATGTTCCTCTCTCTCTCAGCACCTCTCCATTTCCTTGTAATTGTCTTATTTTTAGTTCCTGTCAGAAGGACATGTTCACTACAGGACAAAAGCCACAATAGGTACATGTAGTACCACACCAAATAAAACCAATCTTAAATATTTATATTAATTTATGATACTCAATGCAAGTGCCTATTTAGACAGAAGATGTTGTACAATATTTAATCACTCATTGTATCTATGGTATATTAATGCTTTTGTCTTCCATTTTTAGAATTAGATGATTTGCTTGGTGATACTCAGTGGGATATTCACGGTACAATATAACACAATTAAAAGTTACTGCTACTATTATTGATAATTAATTAGATGCAGAGACTGCAATGATGCACAGACTTCAGTCAGTGTTAATGGAGCACTCTGGAGCTTTGATATCAGTCATTGAATGTACTACTGAACTAGACTGGTTAGCTAATGGGCATATGCATGTACTTGTACATAGTATGCATGTACATGTGATTCTAATGAGAAAATAATTTGAATCAATGTTTAGCCTACATCTCTTGATTATGAAGATGTTTAACACTAACCTAGACACTTACATACAATGTATATACATTGATTAATTTTTTTGTTTTAGTTTGGTATCGATGTCAAAATTAGCAAAGGAGCATAATTTTGTAAAGCCAGAGCTAACTGAAGATAACGTCATTTATATTAAGAATGGAAGGTAATGACCTTATGTGATTCTGGTCTAAATTAATTGCTTTAAAAATTGGCCAAACCATGGGCTATAATTATTAGTAACGCGGTAGCGTTACTAAGTAGGATTCACCCCCAAACAAAATGGCTGCCACGACTTTTGCAGCCTTGCTATATAATTATTGTAATTCATCAAAAATGACTTGTAGAGAATTTGCAGCTACATAGAATCAGAAAGTTTGAGCTGATTCCGACAAATAATTTTTGAGTTATGAGCATTAAAAAATGAGCAAATTTTTGAAAAATACCCAAGGCTGTATACAGCCCTGACAATGAAATAGACTATCTAGTATGCATAGAAATATGCTAAATAGGTATTGTGTTCTCATTTACTGAAAAGGTAATTTTAAATGTGTAAGGAGACTATACAGTCAATACACAGAGAAGATGCTGTTACAAATAAGCTTGGACTAGATTCAGTCATGTTATTATTAACTTGCTGAAGTAAAATAAAAGAGTGAATAAGCCCAGCACTATGACAAGAGTGGCAATAAAAGCTTCTTCATTTTTCTATTCCATGCAGCACATCTTTTCTATAGCTTATACTTGACTAGACTTCAAGTATATACCGTAAATCGGGAAATTTTCATCTTAAAAATAACTAGCGTGAAATTTTTTCAAGGTGTTTTATTTTCGCTGGTTGACCCATCCGCGAATTTTTTTCAACTTGAAAAATTTTAGATGCGTCATAAACTGGACAGGTAGCTACTAACTCTTGATAACGATGGACAGCTATTCTATGGAAGTTGCTTGTGAGAGGACTGAAACTGACAATGAGCCTCTTAGGTGAGAGCTTCAGGCCTTCATCGGACTTTTAGAAGAGCCTCGTGCTTGCACCGCTGCACGTTGGAATAATTTCGGTATTTTTATTATTCGTTGTAGAAAATATTTCGTGTGTTAAAATTTCGCGGGTCACTTCAACCGCGAAAATATTTTTAAAACGAAAATTTCCCGATTTACGGTATCAGTAGATTCAGTACATGCATATGCAGGGCAGGGCTATTTCATATAGCACAAGGACATTGATGTGTATAATTAATAGTATAATTAATAATAATGTAAACATTTTTATGTAAGCCATACTAGTAATTGTAAATTAAGGCAAGTTTAAAAATGCTCATTACTCAGCATTTCATTTCAGCACTTCAGAAGTTTTTAATACTAAAAAATCCAGATATAGAACAATCACATATTGCACACAGAAGTTAGAGGTCTAATTTATAAGCAGAAAATAAAAGTTAAATTATACAGCAGAGTTCTGACTATTTGTACTTTTATCTGATTTTGATGATAAATCATCAGGAACACTTTCACAGGAAGTTGCAGAAGAACTTTTTCCACTTTTTCCACAATACAGGAAACTTGAATACCTTTTTGTCAATGTTACTGCTTTATTTCCAGCGCTTTTAACTGAGCTCCACTTAAGTATGAAGTTCAAAATGCTCAATGGTATCAAATTCATTAGTATGTATGCAGTGGCACTCATGTAAGGGCTACGGATCTTATCAAATGTTCCTCTGTCACACTTTCCAGGGATGTAACCCAACGCCTCACATTCAAAATATTCTTCTAAAGCTGCTTGATACTCGGCATTTTTTGCTTCTGTGTTGCATTGGTGGGCTACATTAAAAACACCAAAAATAATAAAAATTGAAAAAGCCAATAGGATTTTTTTCTCAGCAGTGCTTAGCTTAGTATGACCTCTTCTTTTATTCAAAAAATGTGTGTTCTACAAATGAATTAAAATATTTATAAAATCAATAATTTAGGGTACATACATTTCTCATAGTCCAAAGAACTATAATCAGCATTATAACTCCAGTAGCAAATAGTACATCCATTAGAAGTGTTATAGAATAGAACATCATGCCACTACTGCTGGTGCAAATAGTTGTTGGGAAACGATGAATATTATATTTGAATTTGTCAACAGTGAGGCAGATGATGATAGCTGGCAATGGAAGTAGTAGAGCTTTATTAAGGAAATGGATTATTTTAGAATTAATAAATGCAATAAAACTCACATAAAATTGTCACAGTTGCAAATATGTACTTGTTACGTCCCAGCTTTTCAAATCTATTTGCTTGGAAGGGAAACAATACTTTGTAAAAAAATATAGCAACATGAAAGAACCACGACAGTGCCATGTTTGCAAAAGTATAATGAAATACAACTCCTACATTGAAAATAGAAGTTTTAGATAAGTGGTTAAATTTTACCTGAAAATTTGCAAAAAGGAGTTGGATTATTTAATGTCTCCAATAGACTAACTGAACTGCAGTATAATTCATACCGATAAATAGCAGTTGTGATTAGTACTATACCTATATATATGGATGTATACAATGAACATAAGATTACAATGCACTTTACCCACTACAGTTATGTCTATGACTTGAAAAAGCACCAATATAGAAGGATATGCTAGCCTATAATGATACAGTGATATAATGTTGTGATTTTTCATAGATTGTATAGTCACTAACAGTGTTTTATATTCCTTTACAGCAACAATAATTGCAACAATGCAGAAAGTTAGGGATATACTGGTTGCAACAACTTCTGAATAGAAAAAAAAGGACTCTGAATGAGAGCTTCCTTCAAAACTGTCACATCTTGGCTCACAGATTAAATCTGTTTTAACAAAATCTTCTCTGCACTCTATACCATCACTATCATTGGTATCAATAATTCATGCCTTCAATTGGAATTGTGACAGAAGATGAATCATTGGCAGCTATATAAAGTATTAGTTATAGTAAATAATAAAGATTACTATCATACCATTTGGTAGTGTAGAACAATCAGGTAGGAGTGAGCCATTCCCAGAGTTGTTTGCTAGTGCCCACAGGTCTAAACAAACACCTGTACTTATGAGGAGGCAATCTTCCTTGGTAGCCTTGTAAGATTTCCCAGTTGAGCAATCAGCAAGAGGAAAGAAATATTGACATATGAAAGCTGATGATTGTTGTTGACATTGCTTGTAGATTTCTGTAAATTAGTATATTAAAATAATAAATTTACTTATAATGCTGTGACATTACCTAAATAAGAATTGAGTGATGTGATTGTCTGTTCATGTTGATTTTGTTCTTGTTGACTTACTCCAATATTCAATTCACCTTCTCCAATGGTACATTGAAACCATTGATGTAAGAAGTTTCTACAAGCAATTCCAGTATACTCATGACATTCTGAGGCATCATTATCCTGACTCCATGATAGTCTGGTGCAGTTTTGGCTTATTCCAGTGATGTTGCTATTAAATCCTTTGTAATAGATGCTGGCATTGTTAGAGGTGTCCCTGTTATAACTCTTTACAAAGATTAAAAGTTATGTAATCAGTCATCCATTTGAATGTATCGTAGATTCAATATTTTAGTTAATTTTAATAGATAGATCTATTGCTAAAATGTTTCTTTTAAACTACATGTAAGCTAGTGCCAAAATGTTACTATGTGTAAATCTTACTCTCCATACCATAAATTACTTTTATTGCTCAGTTGCCAAACTAAAATGAACATTTTTGGCATAAGTTATTCTGTTTACTAGGAAACAATGTAGTGTGTACTACAACAACATCCTGCATGCACAATGAAGCCATATGACAACAAATTGTGGTAATGGTCAATTAATATTCAGTGTCATCCCAGTATACTTGTGACTGGGAGTACCTTTGAATTGCAAGAAAGCCTATTTATTTTGGGCAAAATATTTAGCTAGAAAAAACATTGCTAATAATACAAATATGTATTGTGGTAATTCAGGGATGTAGATTCAAGATCTATAAATTATTTAAAATAAACAAAGATGAATGTAGACACCCACGACCCAAATTAGATCTAGATCTATTTGTACCCAAAATTATTATTATCTATTCAATATAAACTAATAATATTTGCTAAATCTATAAAAAAATAATATTGACTCACTGAAGTATAATAGAATATTATTGGGAGAGTGAATAAGCCCAGCACTATGACAATAGTGACAATAACAGCAATGTTCTCAATCTTCTTTCCTATTGCAGAACTTTTCTGTTTATTTCTATTTGAGCAGCACATCTTTTCAAACTGACACTTGCCTAATTCCTATAGCTTGTAAACTAGAGTAAACTCCAGGAAGTAAATATATATATAGACTATCTGCACCTCCAGGGCACGCCTTTCTTAATTAATATTTCAGTAGACTAGTGCTGCTGTTTATTTTATATTTGCTTTTTTAATGACAGTGTAGTTTAGTATCTAAGGTCATGTGAAAGCACAAGGACATTGAAATGAAGGTTTAGATTTATTAGAAAATTCAATTTATGGTAGCTAATTTTTATAAAAGTGCTTAGCCCCAAATTTTTATTACAGTTTCTGATGTATTATGTCCTTTCTGCAAAAAAAGTTTTAGTGCTTCCAACAAAATTAATAATTTTTGAGTTATGAACATTTTTTAAATGAGCCAAATTTTGAAAATTACCTAAGGCTATAGCCCATGGTTTTTCCAAAAATTAGCTCCAAAATCACCCAAAATTTTTATTACATTTTCTGATGTATATTAATGTCCTTATGCTAGCATGTAGAAAGTTTGAGCTGATTCCGGCAAAAATTTTTTGAGTTACAGCCGTTTTAAGAAAACGCCAAAATTCTCAAAAATACCCTATAACCCATGGTTTTTTTCCAAAAAATGGCCCCAAAATCACACCAAATTTTTATTACATTTTCTGATGTATATTAATGCCCTTATGCTACGTAGAAAGTTTAAGTTGTTTCCGATAAATTTTTTTTGAATTACAGCCATTTTAAGAAAACGCCGAAATTCTTAAAAATACCCAAGGCTATAAGCCCATGGTTTTTTCCAAAAAATGGCCCCAAAATCACACCAAATTTTTATTACATTTTCTGATGTATATTAATGTCCTTATGCTATGTAGAAAGTTTGAGCTGTTTCTGATAAATATTTTTTGAATTACAGCCATTTTAAGAAAACGCCAAAATTCTGAAAAATACCCAAGGCTATAGCCCATGGTTTTTTCCAAAAAATGGCTCCAAAATCACCCCAAATTTTAATTACATTTTCTGATGTATATTAATGTCCTTATGCTACGTAGAAAAACCATAGGGCTATAATTATATGCCCTATGCTACGTAGGGCCAAACCATATACTTATGCTACGTAGGGCCAAACCATGGGCTATAATTATAATTATTGTAATTCATCAGAAATGACTTGTAGAGAGTTTGCTGTTTTTTTATTATCTTTCTAATGCATGTACGTGTACATGTTAATCATGTTGCTTAATATTGAGCTTATTCTGATTGGCAGCTACATAGAATTAGAAAGTTTGAGCTGATTTTGACAAATAATTTTTGAGTTATGAGCATTTTAAAATGAGCCAATTTTTGAAAAATACCCAAGGCTGTATACAGCCCTGACAATAAAATAGACTATCTAGTATGCATAGAAATATGCTAAACAGGTATTTTGTTCTCGTTTACTGAAAAGGTAATTTGCAAATGTACATGTATAAGGAACTATACAGTCAATACACAGGAGAAGATGCTGTTACAAATAAACTTGGACTAGATCTAACTACATGTATGTTATTATTAACTTACTGAAATAAAGTAGAATTTTATTGGGAGAGTGAATAAGCCCAGCACTATGACAAGAGTGGCAATAAAAGCTCTTTTGTTTTTCTATTTTAGCAGTACATCTTTTCTATAGCTGAAACTTGCTTATCTTCAAGTATCTGTACATGCATATGCAGGGCAGTCATATAGCACAAAGATATTGATATGTATAATTGATAATGTAGTTAATAATATTGTGTAACCATTTTTGTGTAAGCTATAGCTATACAGTAATTGTGAAGGCAAGTTTATATAGTGCTGTATTACTCAATACTTTAGTTCAGCTTTTAAGAAGTTTTTAATACTAAAAAACAGATATACATGTAGAACAATATTGTACACAGAAGTTAAAGGTCCAAATTATCAGCAGAAAATAAAGTTAAATTATACAGCAAAATTCTTACTATTTGTACTTTTATCTGATTTTGATGATAACTCATCAGGAACACTTTCACAGGAAGTTAGAATTTTTCCACAATACAGGAATTGAAACACCTCTTTGTCAATTTTACTGCTTTATTTCCAGCACTTTTAACTGAGCTCCACTTAAGTATGAAATTCAAAATGCTCAATGGTATCAAACTCATTAGTATGAATGCAATAGCACTCATGTAAGAGCTATACATGCGGATCTTTTCAAATGTTCCTCTGTCACACTTTCCAGGGATGTGGCCGAATGCCTCACATTCAAAATATTCCTCTAAAGCTGCTTCAAACTCGTCGGATTTCGCTGTTATGTTGCTTTGGTGTGCTACATTAAAAGCACCGAAAATAATGAAAAATGTAAAAACCAATAGGATTTTTTTCTCAGCAGTGTTTAGCTTAGTATGACTTCTTTTTTTCAAGAAATTTGTTTTCTATTAACAAAATTAAAATATTATAAAATCAATATTTTAGTGTACATACATTTCTCATAGTCCAAAGAACTATAATCAGCATTATAACTCCAGCAGCAAATAGTACATCCATTGGAAGTGTTATAGAATAGAACCACATGACACCATTGCTGCTGCAAATAGTTGTTGGGAAACGATTGATATTATATTTGAATTTGTCAACAGAAAGGCAAATGATAACAGCTGGCAATGGAAGTAGTATAGCTTTATTTAAGAAATAGATTATTTTAAAATAAATGCAATAAAACTTACATAAAATGGTTACAGTTGCAAATATGTACTTGTTACGTCCCAGCTTTTCAAATCTATTTGCTTGGAAGGGAAAAAGTACTTTGTGAAAAAATATAGCAACATGAAAGAACCATGACAGTGCCATATTTACAAAAGTATAATGAAATGCAACTCCTACATTGAAAATGAAATTTTTAGATAAGTGGTTAAATTTTTACCTGAAAATTTGCAAAAAGGAGTTGGATTTTTTAATGTCTCCAATAGACTAACTGAACTGCAGTATAATCCATACCGATCAATAGCAGTTATGATTAGTACCATGACTATAAATGAATGTATACAATGAACATAAGATTACAATGCAATTTACCAAATACAGTGATGTCTATGACTTGAAAAAACACCAATACAGAAGGATATGCTAGCCTATAATGATACAGTGATATAATGTTGTGACTTGTGATAGATTTTATAGTCACTAACAATATCTTATATTCCTTTATAACAACAATAATTGCAATAATGCAGAAAGTTAGGGCTATACTGGTTGCAACAACTTCCGAATATATCAGTATTTGTGAGTCTAAATGAGACCTAGTTTGATCAAAACTCTCACATCTCGGCTCACAGATTAAATCTATTTTAACAAAATCTTCTCTGCACGCTATTCCTTCAGTACCATTGGTATCATTTATGTCTTCAATTGAAAGTGTGACAGAAGATGAGTCATTGACAGCTATATAAAGTGTAAATTACTACGTGTAAGTAATAAGATTACTATCATACCATTTGGTAGTGTAGAACAATTAGGTAAGAGTGAGCCATAGCTAAAGTTATTTGCTAGTGTCCACAGGTCTGAACAAACACCTGTACTTATGAGGAGGCAGTCTTCCTTGGTAGCCTTGTAAGATTTCCCAGTTGAGCAATCAGCAAGTGGAAAGAAATATTGACATATGAAAGCTGATGATTGTTGTTGACATTGTTTGTAGAATTCTATAATTAACATTAATGAAAAATTAATAAGCTAAAGTCATTACCTAAATAATTATTGAGTGATTCAATTGTCTGTTCGTGTTGATTTTGTTCTTGTTGACTTACTCCAATATTCAATTCACCTTCTCCAATGGTACATTGAAACCATTGATGTAAGAAGTCTCTACAAGCAGTTCCAGTATACTCATGACATTCTGAGGCATCATTATCCTGATTCCATGATAGTCTGGTACAGTTTTGGCTTATTCCAGTGATGTTGCTAGTAAATCCTTTGTAATAGATGCTGGCATTGTTAAAGGTGTCCCTGTTATGACTCTTTACAAAAATTAACGGTTATGTAATCAGCTATCCATTTGAGTGCATGTTAATTTTAATTATATAGATCAATTGTTAAGATGTTTCTTTTGAACTAAGCTATTACAAGAATTTTACTATGCATAAATGTTACTATGCATACCATAAGTTAAATTACTCGTATATACTAACATTTTTGGCACAAGTGATTGTGTTTACTATAGGCAATAATGTAGTGTATACTACCAGAACATCCTACATGGACAATGAAGCCATGTGACAACAAATTGTGGCTAGTCGAGTCATTAGCCCTGTTTACACTATGCCCTTAAAGCGGTGGTTTAGAAATAAATTAGTTTATGTGTGGACAATTTCAATGTGGTTTGAAACCGACTTATCTAAACCACCTCAGGATCAGGAGGTGGTCTGAGATGATCAAACCAGTTTAAGTACCGAGCAGCTGTATTATTTATGCAATGTAGCATTGTAAACTGATTCAACCACAGTTACGTGTGGACACAATTAAGCTGGTTTCTGAACTGGTTTGTAGCGTAAACGGGGCTATTGTCATCCCAGTATGCTTGTGACTGGAAGTACCTTTGAAATATATTATGAAAGAGAACCTATTTATTTTAGGCACAATATTTAGCTAGAAAACATTACTAAAATATAAATATGTATTGTTGTAATTTGGAGATGTAAATTCAAGATCTATAAATTATTTTAAATAAACAGAGACGAATGTAGACACCCATGACCCATATTAGATCTAGATCTATTTTTACCCAAAATTATATATTATCTATTCCGTATAACTTTATAATAATTTTATTTGCTACATTTAAAAAATAATATTGACTTACTGAAGTGTAATAGAATATTATTGGGAGAGTGAATAAGCCCAGCACTATGACAATAGTGACAATAAAAGCAACATTCTCAATCTTCTTTCCTATTGCAGAACTTTTCTGTTTATTTCTATTCCAGCAGCACATCTTTTCAAACTGACACTTGCCTAATTCCTATAGCTTGTAAACTAGAGTAAACTCCAGGAAGTAAATATATATATAGACTATCTGCACCTCCAGGGCACACCTTTCTTAATTAATATTTCAGTAGACTAGTGCTGCTGTTTATTTTATATTTGCTTTTTAATGACAGTGTAGTTTAGTATCTAAGGTCATGTGAAAGCACAAGGACATTGACATGAAGGTTTAGATTTATTAGAAAATTTAATTTATGGTGGCTAATTTTTATAAAAGTGCTCATTACTTAGCCCAAAATTTTATTACATCTTCTGATGTATTATGTCCTTATCCTGCAAAAAAGTTTGAGTGCTTCCAACAAAATTAATAATTTTCGAGTTATGAACACCAAATTTTTATTACATTTTCTGATGTATATTGATGTCCTTATGCTATGTAGAAAGTTTGAGCTGTTTCTGACTAATATTTTCTGAGTTACAGCCATTTTAAGAAAACGCCAAAATATTAAAAAATACCCAAGGCTATAGCCCATGGTTTTTTCCAAAGAATGGCCCCAAAATCATCCCAAATTTTTATTACATTTTCTGATGTATATTAATGTCCTTATGCTATGTAGAAAGTTTGAGCTGTTTCCGACTAATATTTTTGAGTTACAGCCATTTTAAGAAAATGCCAAAATTCTGAAAAATACCTAAGGCTATATATAGCCCATGGTTTTTTCCAAAAAATGGCCCCAAAATCACCCCAAATTTTTATTACATTTTCTGATGTATATTGATGTCCTTATGCTATGTAGAAAGTTTGAGCTGTTTCCGACTAATATTTTTAGAGTTACAGCCATTTTAAGAAACCGCCAAAATTCTGAAAAATACCTAAGGCTATAGCCCATGGTTTTTTTCCAAAAAATGGCCCCAAAATCACCCCAAATTTTTATTACATTTTCTGATGTATATTGATGTCCTTATGCTACGTAGAAAGTTTGAGCTGTTTCCGACTAATATTTTTTGAGTTACAGCCATTTTAAGAAACCACCAAAATTCTGAAAAATACCCAAGGCTATAGCCCATGGTTTTTTCCAAAAAATGGCCCTAAAATTACCCCAAATTTTTATTACATTTTCTTATGTATATTGATGTCCTTATGCTATGTAGAAAGTTTGAGCTATTTCCAATTAATATTTTTTGAGTTACAGCCATTTTAAAAATACCCAAGGTTGTCTCCTTTACTTATATACAGGCATCCATTGCAGGAGTTGTGTGTCAATACTTTTGTCCCTAATGATACCGTATCGGATTCAGCCCATGGAACAATGAAGATATTAACTGGAGCTAACGCTAGTGGAAAGAGCGTCTACCTTACACAAGTACTACTAGCCCTCTAATCTATCATATATACTTTACACTATTATGATCTATTGAGTATTATGTACATGTATATGTTCACTATTCTAATGCACAAAGTATAGCTTGGGGAAAATATTCATTTTCTAATATGTATCATACACATACTAAACACACCCCATTATGTTTATGTATGACATTAGGTTGGCTTGATAGTGTATTTGGCTCACATTGGAAGCTTTGTTCCTGCTGAAGCTGCTAAGATTGGTATAATGGATGGTATATTCACGCGTGTACAAACAAGAGAGTCAGTATCTATTGCTCAGTCCACATTCCTCATTGATATTAACCAGGTATTAAATGAATCTACGAAAGCCATAGTGTTGCTTACTATTAGCATTTAATTTTCTGCACTAGTTTTAAGTGATATTTTTATCTTACTTAATCTAAGTACATATATATTGTAGCATTATTGCCTCATTTTTATAGGTATCAACAGCAGTTCAGTGTGGCACTCATCGCTCATTGATACTGTTAGATGAATTTGGTAAAGGAACTGCCACTGTAAGTAATGTCCTTATATTGATTGTAATGCTAAGCATTCATGTCATGTACATACTTCTACTATAGTACGGGGATTAATTTTGGCCCAATTTTTGAGCAACTTTAAAAATTTATAAAAAAAATCCAATTTTGATTGGAATCAACTCAAACTTTCTACACAACATACGCACATGTATATGCATCAGAATTAATTATAAAAAAGTAAAATTTTCTTGTTTTCAATTTTAGTGAAATTTGGTCAATGGCCATGTACTATAGTACAGGGACTTTGGCCTGATTTTTGAGCAACTTTAAACGTTCATAGAAATCAAAATTTGATCCGAATCAGTTCAAACTTTCTAGTACATGTACATGTAGACAGAGTCTCTATAGTTTCTTACACAGCTTTTGTATATCAGTAATATCACTTATCATAATTGTATTGTACAGGTGGATGGTCTAGCATTGCTGGCAGCTGTTCTTCGCCATTGGCTAAAGAAAGAGGAGGAGTGTCCTCACATTTTAGTATCAACTCATTTTCATTCTCTACTGGATCAAAAACTCTTACCTGATTCTGAGCTGATTGAATATTTAGTGAGTACTGTATAGCTGGAAATATTTGCTGGAATTTAATTTTGCTGTTTGCTGTTCATTGTAAAAACACACAATTTAATTCCACAAACCATTATAGGCAATGGGTGTATCAACAGCTCACGCCTACACCAGCAAAATTAAATTCCACATGCATTAAAATTTGCTATATTAGTGCAAAATTAAAAAATATAATTCCTGCAAACTTTTCCAGCTATATGGTATATTATATTACTGTTATGCATTTGGTAGAGTGCATATTCATAATATTTAACACCTGTATAATGGCTTTTTACTTTTATTATTTTATATACATAGACTATGGATACCATTAATGATAAAGGTGAGCTGGTGTTTCTCTATCAGTTGGTCCCAGGTAAAAGTGATACCAGTCATGCTTGTCACATTGCTGCTACTGTCGGCTTACCTCCCGAGATCATAGAAAGAGCTCAAAAGGTTATCTCTTTAATCATAGTAGATTTTGGAAATAGAAGCATAGAGTTGAATGATGCTTTATGACAATAGGTATCGCAGCAGATTCGTTGTAATGAGCCAGTAACTCAAATTAATGATGCTAATACAGAAGCCAAGACTAAAGTGTAAGTATAACTACCATATAGACCTTTAATTTGGCTTAGTTTTATTTTGGCATTTTGTAAGCTGCCAATCGTTAATGCGCATGGTCACGATATCATTAATTATGAGCAGAATTACTGGCTAGTACATGCATGTGTATCAGCAGGTCCTTTTTCTTATGCTTTTAGTGCTTGTGCAAAAAAGTAGCAGATAATTATCTTGAATTTTTCTTTTCTTTAAACCTATAGCTGTATTGATATAGTAAATCGATTTATGGAGCTTGATCTAGAGAAAGATGATGTCGTAGGATTTTTACAAGATTACGTACTCCCAACTGCAAAAGATATTATATGAAAACAAATTTAGCACATGCAGTCACAAGATCATGTAAATTAGTAGCTTTGTAATATTTATCATGAACATAACCATTACTAGAGACAACTTTTTACAAAGACATTTTATATTGCTCTAATACTATTATTAACAGCGAATCTAATCTAGATTTATATAAATCACAAGTGGTCGGTATTTTAGTTTTAAAATAGTCACACTCACATCAAATTTACAATATATATAAAAGTTACTTTGTTATAACATTAAGTTTTGTGACACATATTGAATGTAATGGTGCAGGTTCCAGAATGTATTCCATCATCTCTTAAACAATTGAAGTCTTTGTCAATTTCCTTGCTTTGGTTCGTAGGCTTTTAACAGAGTGCCATTTAATTATAAAGTTTAGGATACTCAATGGGACTAAACCTATCAGTATGTAGCTGATAGCATTCAAGTAAGGATTGTATATCTTATCAAAAGTTCCCCTGTCACACTTTCCAGGGACATGACCAAATGCCTCGCATTCAAAGTATTGCGTTAAAGCTGCTTTAAACTCGTTAGATTTTGCTACAGCACCACTTGTGTTCCCCAGTATGTATACACCAAAGATCACAAAGGATATGATTACCATTACAATCTTCTTTTCTGCAGTGGTGAGACTTATACTTTGTTGGTTAATTTTGAACGAGCTCTAAAAAAATAATTACAAAAAGTCTTTTTAATGAATTATAAATTTTCGTTACCCTTCTTATGGTCCAAAATATTATGATGAGCATGATGACTCCAGCAGCAACCAGTACGTCCATTGGAAGTGTAGTAGAATAGAACCACATGTCACCACTGCTTATGCAGAGTGTGGTGGGAAAGCGATATATGTTGTATCCGAATCTCTCAACAGTGAGGCTGATTATAACAGCTGGCAATGGAATTACCAGGCCTTTAGTATAAGTATATAAAGATCATATCAAAATAATTTATTTTACTTACATAAAGTCACGACTGTTATGAATATGTACTTGTTGTAGCCCATGTTTTCAAAATTTTTTGCTTGAAAGGGAAACAGGATTTTGTGGAAAATGATGACACCATAAAAGAACCACCACAATACCATGTTCAAGGTATTGTATTGAAATATCACTCCTGCATATGAGTAATACATTTAAGGCCTTTTCACACTGGCACAAGTAATGCGCATTGATGCGCATTAATCGTGTTCACACTAGAGTGGTTTTCAATTAATGCGCATCACCCTTGCTTCACCTCCAGAGGTGGATTAATGTGAAGTGATGCGCTTCGATCAATGTAAACCAATGGCAACAAGAACACAAAATGATACATAATTCAGCTGCTAGTACAGTGTGAACAAGATCAATGCGCATTGTTTCAGCTGTATCAACAAAGCGCAAAGCGTTTTGAAAACTGTGCCAGTGTGAAAAGGCCTTTAATGGTAACTCTGCTATGCGTTTTACCTGAAAATTTACAGAAAGGTGTTGGATTCTCAAGTGTCTCCAATAGACTAACTGAACTGCAGTATAATCCATTCCGATCAATAGCAGTTATGATTAGTACTATTTCTAAATATGTTATTTAGTGTATGGTATATGGAAGCAATTTTTATAGTGAACTTCTTACCTAATACAATCATATTTATGATTATGAAAAACACAAGTATAGTCGGGTATGTCAACCTAATGTATCATGGGAATTATAAAGAATTAGCTCGAGTAAAGAAGCATCTTACATTATCTTGTATTCCTTGATAGCAAAGATAATAGTAACAATGGAGATAACAAAAGCTATGCTGGTTGCAGCTATTTCAGAGTAAAGCATTATTAGTGTGTCCGAATGAGAGCTTTGTTCAAAACTGTCACATCTTGGCTCACAGATTAAATCTGTTTTAACAAAGTCTTCCCTGCACACTATGTTGTTAGTCCCATTCAGCATGCTTGCACTTGGAGTTGTATCAGTTTCAGAAGAATCATTGGCAGCTATATCAAATTACAATTTGTAGTAACAAATAAAATTTTTGTCATACCATTTGGTAGTGTAGAACAATCAGGTA